AGGAGAGTGGAAATAAAGATGTAGTAACACCCACTCTGTCAATATTTCCTTAAAAAAATGTCCCCAAATGTTCATTAAGTTAGAAAATTTTGGGTTTATTTCTTCAAGTCATTAGCATAACTTACAGTAATTTAAGAGGTACTATCCAAGGTGAGTAGGAAAGTTGTGACAGGGCTGCTTTCACTTAAGTGTTACAGAAGGAGCCTTATACAAAGTGCAGACCACCTTTACAGCAGCACATCTCCTACAGAGCCAGAAGTCTCCAGCATGGTGTTGCAATCTGCAGAAGTTCGAATTAAGGGCCATGTCAGTGTCTTGTTTTGGAACTGGGGACAGTCTACAGACAACAGAAACTGGAGCTCTGAAACAGGCAAGCAGTGCTAACCTGTCTGATTCATATCATGTCCTTGAAAGTTTATCTACGCAACCTACGAAGGATAAGTTGTGCTTGCAAACTGTCAAAAAAGGCCAAGGACAGTCTGGGTATTCTCCTAAATAATTCTGCGCTCTTGATGCAAAAGAAACCCTTACCAATAAAAGAAGTGCCAGTGTCCTAACTGGATCCAAGTATGTGAAATTTAATTTCCCTGAGGGCTGAGAGTAAAGATTGGGTAAGAAAACTGGGACACGAATGGATTGGTTCATATGAAAACCTGAAATAGCCCTGGGCAGAAATTTGGAAGTATTGCGAAATACTGTATAAGAAGAATCCATCTTCATATGCAGAGAGTAACTCTAGATGGGAGATGTAGTAACATAAGCAGATATCCCAAAAGGTTGTACAAAGAAATATACAGAATGTTTTAAATGGGAATATAGGATGTGGCAATCCAATGCCATGGCGTTATGCAAATATTTGTACCAGATATATTTGGACAGAACTAATTAAAAGTTCAAATGCTTTGAACACGTGAGATAGACAACACTGCTGATATTGCTGATATCAGAGATATCAGACAGCTGATGCTCATATGATCAAAGTTAAACATCTTCCCGTTTAGTTCTGATAGTCAGTTGAGGTTGTCACAGCCTGATACACAACTTCTGGTAGATGCCATACAGGCAGCATTAAGGCTGCAAGATGTAGAAATGTCAGCTGCAAGCAAAGGGTTCGATCATACTGCAAGATGATAACGCACTGGAAGGAAAGTAGGCTGCTCAGGATTTAAGTATCAGAACTAACAGGCCAGTGCTTCCTCTGCTCATAACCATAAATCCTAACACCTCAACCTATTCTCATCAGACTCTCTGGTGATGATACGGAACAATGGGACGGCATGCATGTGCCTCAGCTCTCAGGGGAGAAAGGCTCCTTTAGCAGACCCTCATCTTGGATCCATCTTCCCTGGAATAATTTTTTTTTTCCTGGGTAGTGGAAAATAAAGGGTTTTTTTTTAAAAAAACCTTCATTTGCAAAATCCAAGTAATAATAATAAAATAAAAATAGTGCACACAAATCTTTAACAGATAACTCTGTGTGTTGCCAAGTATCAACCTGAAGATCTGGGAACTTAAAGTAAACCAAAGACTGTTGAGAAGAGGAAGGCGTGACCCAGAACAAACCAGAACAAATTCCAAAACTGTAAGATTCCTCATAGAATACAAACAATACAAGAATACAAGGAACAATATGTATACGGGTAAATGCACCAAGGTCTACAATCTTGGTGGAGAGAGCTGCATAAAAGGACACCTGACCCCTGATCAGGCATTCAAAGAAAATTGCTATTTATTTCAGCAACCTGACCTTACATTAGGTCTTCCTGGTAGATATACTGATTCAAACAGCCTCTTCTTGAAGCCTAAGTCTGGCAAATTTTATTATTCAGCTGCATGACATAATGTCTGAGGCATGGTCTCACTGGTGTCTTGGGAGAACCTGAAGCCTGTTGATGAGATAAAGTATTCATATGGGATTTTCCTCGCGAAAACAGTAGGTCCTCCTTGGTCTGGAATACAACTGGGCTCTTTCAAATGATATGCTACTGGATTTTTAAATTATTTTGAGGGTTTTTTTAAGCATTACTCCAGGTTCAGAATTTAAAATTCTATGATTACTCAAAACAAGATAAGCTGCTTGTCTGTTGGATTGCTTCACTGTGTCAGCCTTTGACCAAACCAAGATATGCTCCAATTCCCTGGGTTCTTTAATCACAAAAGCATTTGAGAGAAGCCCACAATGGTCATTCCATAGCAAAGGGCAGGAATCCAGCAGCAGCGGCAAGACACTTTTACAGTCACACCAGGGTTTCTGTGGAGGAATAAATATATCTACCTGCCAGTAGATATTTTGCATATCAAGGCACAAACTAAGTTGAGGGATCTAACAGAAAAATTATGGAAAGTGAGCCCTGCAAGCTACAAGTCTTCACCTGATATCATTTAAGGAACTCTCTTTTAAAGTAATGTCTCCAATTTCCACTCTACTATCCAGGAAGGAGAAAACAGAGAGGTACAAGATGAGTTGCTATTGAGCCCAAAGTAGAAAGAAAAGTGTACTTGCTCCAAAGCAGAGACTGCTCTATCAGAAAAGGTCTCCTTCACACCAGCAAGTCATAGTGACTCCAAAGCTGCTGTTTTGGATATCACCCTTTCAATCTCACAAAGAAAGATGACTCTGGTACCTGGCCCATAGATGAAAGGTTCACTTTAGGCTTCTGGCCCTTAGACTACATGTAATACGAGTCAGAAACCTAATGACTTTCATGTCTCAACCTGTTAGATGCTGGAGCTTGCAACCTATGCCTTGACTCATCCCCGGAGCAGCGCTCTTTCAGGTAAGATAATCAGACCTTATTTTTCATAGACAATACTTCATATGACAGTAAGTCTCAGGAGGTTTCAACTAGCCCAAAAATATCTATGAGGTGTTGACTTAGTTTAGGTATCATTCAGACATGTGATATTGGTAGAAAAAGAAACATACAAGCAATGTTGACCAAAACCTTGTTTTAACTTTGCATAACAATGTTAGACTCTAGATATAAACTGACCAGGTCAGGCTCCAAGAAACAATTTGTATTAACATCCAAATATTACTGGACAATATTTGCCTAGCACTCATTATATATAAATAAATATATATATATATATATACACCCCTCATCCCAACCCCCCACTGGAAAACAACTTTATGGTAAAATCTCACAGACAAATTCCAAACAACTATATCATGATTTTTGGCATATTGCTTCATGCCATTGTCTTGACATTCAAATGAGTTTAATAATTGCTCTTTTGAAGCTGCTAATGTTAAAAAAAAACTCTCAAGTTCTGGAATTGGCTGGGAATTCCAGGTTCTAACAGCTACACTGGAAATATTCACTCATCAAGAGGTTCAAAAGACACTGTCAGAACTGAAACACAAACACATGTCAGAACGACTTGAAACAAAATGACTATAACTCAGAGTTTGGGTTTTCTTTAAATTATGTTTGAAGAGCTTTAAAATGTTTAATTTATTAAACTGGCTTTGATACTACAGGCATAGCTTTCACTTTCAAGTGCTACAATGGCTCAATGGAACACAGAATATATTAAGCTTAAATTCCACGGCCACCATACACACTTCTGAAAGACATTTTAGTGTTTCTTCACTTGAAGTAATATACTGTCTCTGTGAATTTGACATGAAAACTGAAGCAGCAGCCTCTCATACTGCACAGACAACTCTGTCAGACACCATCACTGCTCCAATTACCAAAAAATCCACTAAGTAATCACAACTACTAGTAGCTGAACATAAGGAGCTCCTAAAAAAATTCCCCAAAATGACAGATTTGGTTTTCAAAGAACAGTTCAAGTTTTTCCAGACGTTGTTTCAATCTCTCCTGGCAGATCTGGGCTTTGGCATGGCTTCTCTTTTACTTCCCTCTGCCTGGCCTTCCTTGAGGATGTTGTCATAAGAAAGACCATGTGCTCAGCTGTTTCTCTTCCATATACCCCTATTTACTGTTCTCTTCCTCTATCCCTGTCAGCTCCTAGCGTCTACTAGGAGCACTACTTCAGTCCACTTAACACTAGGAGCCGATGCTGCAGACGCAGTAATACCAGTGAAACCCAGGCTTTGAACAAAATCACATCCTATGAAGCATGCTTTGTACCCTTTGCAAAGGCAAGTCAGAGTTGTGGGATCAAGAAATTCAAAACCTCCCCCACAAATGCTGAAAAGAGCACAAATGTAACACTGCCTTCCCTCCAGAGCAGAATTGGGCAGTGAAGGGCAATGTATAGACTGACAGTGGACAGAATCAACGCCTGCTATCTGATAACCAACTCTTAGAATTACAGCACCACTACAGTGTTTGTCTGCCACCCCACCATCTAATATCCTCACACACTGTTCAATGCACTGTTGTTTTCTTAAAGATGCACTCTTTACTGTACATACACCATTTGCTTACACGTGCAGCAGTTTTCTAGCTGCTTAATACCAGTAAGCTACCAAAGTCACAAATACTTCATTCAAAAGGTATGTGAGAGGTAAGACAAGTCCCAAGATTCCATAAAAAGTATTCAGTTAATACTGTGCTATATTTTATTACATTCAACCTTGCCTTCACCTCAAGTGACACATCAGAGATTACATGTTGACAATATAGGAGAGTGGTTACTGCTCCAAAAGAAACAAAACAAATACCCCAACACCCCCACCTTTGGGCTTAAATGCATTATCACTACAGTTTTTGAATGTAACAAACCACAGAATGGGTGTCCTGGCATAAAACCAGAATCCTAGGTAGTAGAAAGTAAGTGCTCTTTACTATCAGCTTTCTTTTAGTACATACACATAGGGATTTGCAGAAGTGCCATTTGCTGGAAACACAGCGGCGCAGGGAAGGAAAAGTCAGCCTCTAACCGCCTACGAACAAAGAAAGCTAATTTAATTTTGAAACAAAAGGAACTAAATTCATCATTCTGAGGCAACCCCGGGACATGCCAGCATGAAATGGAAGAAAAGGAGTTGCCAAAGACATGCAGAACAAGCTTTTTAAAGTTACCTGGAATCAGGATATTTTGTAAGCGTGGCCAAGCTGCTGGTGTACATGTGCCCACCCACATCAATGTGAACTGGTGCGTTGGATTTTGTGAGCTGCGCTGGAGTGGGGATGCCTTGATTGTTCAATGGAGATGCAGGGGATCTAGTGATCAGAGGTCTTGACATATTGGGCCGACTGTCCTGTGAAGAGATAGACCTGGGTTAATGATCTCCTTAAAAACCTCACAGAACCCCACAGTCTTGAATTAATAGCACTGTCTCATAGCCTTAGATTATGACTTTTATCTCAGTAAAGCACACACGAGTACTTGGCAGTTTTTAAAATGAATCTAGCTCTAAGAGTTTTAACTCGCTACATTTTAAATAAGTGGGGCAAAATGCACTCATAAAACCCACAAAATAGAAATCACATTCAATAAAACAAGTTTTTCCTGAATATTATTTGTGACAGTCAATCCATACCATTGAAAAAGTCATTCTCATTTTTAAGAGTTGATAAAGACCCCGCCAGAAAGAGCTGCAGACAAAAAGACCAAGAACAATGTTTTCCTTAATTAAGACAACCCCAGGTAGACTTTCTGTTCCTTCCCAAGCCCTCTGTCACTCTCATACCACCAGAACAGAAATACAAACCCTCAGCTCCTCCATCCTGCACACTCTTCGCTCGAATTCCCAATTCACATAGCACGGGAACAGAAGCAGAAACACCTGGACTAGTCAACTGCTCATGGACTGCAGACCACTGGACATCGACAGCCTTTGAGAAAGACATTTTCCATTTAAAAGTTACACGTATGGCGACAGCTGCCCCCGCGTGCCCCACATAGGCTGCAGGTCTGAGCGGCTTCCCGAGGCCGGCGAGCTCCGAGCGCGGAACGGGAGCCGATGCTCCGCTGATGAAACCAACTTTTAGTCACAAAGGAAGCGCCGCACCGCCGGCACGGAGCAGCGGCCGCCTGCGCGGCGGGTGGGGCAGGGCAGGGCGGTGAGCTGGAGCCAGGAAGGCAGGCGGCAGGCAAAGTTGGGGATTAAAATAGAAATGCATTCGAGAGCGGTTTTGAGACGGCCCCGCTTTCGACTGAAGGAAAGCCCCATACGGGGTGGAATCTTATAGGGATGCCCTGAGAACTAAAAGCCCTTGCAAATGACTAAGTTTTACATTTAAAAGGTAAGCAAAGCAGCGAGAAGTCAGATACACTTCATCACAAAACTCTCTTTGTTCTTTCAACACTGTCTTTCAGCTGCACAAAGAAATGGATTCCTTGTAAACATCTCCTCAGAGCCAGGCAGCAAACCTCGCCAAAGCGGAGCGCTGCCGTGAGAGAGAGTTACACGGCACTCGGACTGGCGAAGTCCGCCGCCGCCAAAAACATCATTTCTCCATTTTTCACGGCTGCTAAAAGACTCAAACCATAAAGGCAACAAGAGCCAGGTAAATGTCTGACTGATATGATTTACAGGCCAACGTTGCACAATAAATCCAAGTAATATGTAACAAAAGGCATCTATAAACCACAAGGTACTTAACTAATTTTCTCTCGTACACAAAAGCAAGGTAAGGTCTAACAGTGATAAAAACGAAGGGAATGAAGAAAAACATCTAGTTTAGATGTTGGGGGGGGGGGGGAAGGGTTGGGTTTCTTCTGTTTCTTTACAAGCAGAAGTTAATATAAATCTGCAGAAATACCAGGCTTAATCACTACAATTGCTTGAGGAGGTGCCTGCAGCGCAAAGAAGACAAGTCCAGACAAAATAAGGTACACACGCTATGCAAAACTAATGTCTGCTACAAATGCTATGTGGTACAACCACCACCCAAGATGCTACTGATCTGCAGTACGGTATTTAGTAAAATAATGAAGAAAAAATTAAAAACAACAACTGGAAAGGTGAAAGTAAGAAGGCAAGGACTGATACAAATTGGGGGGGGGGGGGAGAGAATGTGTTGGACAATTAGCAGGAGGAAAGCAGCAGGTCTGAGGAACACATTTCAGTGCTTAAAAGCAGACAAATGGTTTGGCAAAAACAAAGATAAAATCACCAACGAAAGCTGAGACTAAAATGAAAAACAAATTCTGTAACTTGCATGAGACAGACACCACCATCTCCCTTAGCAGGATCCTCTCTGGCAGAAAAAACACAGCTCTCTTGCAATTTAACACACTGCAGCACCACCGAGTCTGTAATAGTTTTTCAATTGGACACATTCTCCTGTATACCCTGCCTGGGGCTGCTCAAGAGAAAATGAACAGATTTGCAGGGTTAATATTGTAGTTAGGCTGGGACCTCATTCAGCATAGCTGCGATAGCACTGGCTGTACAAAGCAGTAGAAGAATGTGTAGTACGAACACCACTGCCAGGATGGGAGATAGGTCGGAGGACTGTGGGCATTTTACAAGAAAAGGGAACCAGTTTCCAAACCCAAGTTGGAACCAATCTGCCATTTACACAGTTTGCCTACTAAAACTCCCAAGAAATAAAACTGCTTTATAATAAAACCATTTGCTCTCTTATTTCAGCCTGCTCCTTTTCAACATTTCCTCTTCAAGTTACCTGCATTTATTGCATCTCATGAAACAATGCCCATCTTCTCAATGTTTAGTTATTAAGCACAATAATGCTAAGATTGCTCCAGTCTTAGCTCACAAAGCGTATTTCCCTGGATAAAACCAGTTCACTACTCTTTTGGAGACCACTTTGAAATTAGGCAATGGTATTTCTACTGCAGTTGCCCCAGAGAAATTAAAGCAGAAACGGGATTCGGAGAACCAGATACTTTAAAAAAACCCAGGTTTTTTAATGTGGCACAATGCAATATCACAGTCACAGCACAGAAGGGCACCATCCAATGGGTATGGCATTTAAGAGACCAAAGCTATATCATTGCATTAGTTCAAATCACTGTTTAGTTCAGCTATGGAATGGATAACACAGAGACAAACAGTCTCTCTGAAGAAACACGTGCCTTGCATCAGATTACCGCAAACATGGAAGTGAACAAGCTTTGGTAAAAAGTGGTAATAACAAGGTATTGCTGGTAAATTATTAATCTTCTACCACCTAATGTGACTACAAATATAATTCCTTAGAAAGAACTACAGGAGGAGAGAAGGAAGTCATAGAAAGTAAACTCAGTGGGATCTAGTAAGCTATCTAGAACAGCTGACAACAAAAAGAATCAAAAAGCTCTTCAGAACCCTTTCTTGAGATCAAGCAGGTGAGACATGCACCCAGAAATGGGTTCAGAGCTCAGCCATGGCTGTTCCCACATGGGAGATCCCAGAGGCTGTTGTCTGCCTCAGGAACTGCATCAGCTTTGTTCATGAGTGGGACACAAAGTAGGGCTAGCACTTGCAGTGGCTGGATGGGCAGTGACCTTCCTGACCTGTCAACAGTCTGTCACTTGATAGCTTTTTTTCCTCAAATATTTTAGTATTTATCCTACAAGAAAAAAAAAATTAAGCAGGAACGGGAAATTGTCAGTTTTACAACAGTTCCCATGAACCAAAATACTTCAAATACCCTGTAAAACATTTATCATTCTTAGTATTCAAAGATGATTCCCCCCGCAACAGCTTCTCATAAAAATTAGTTCCCATTTCCACTCAGATTTAATGCATTACTGAAACTATGTACTCAAAAGGGCCAAAATCTGTGTGTTAGGCAGGTTAAAGGCATTTAGGTTGTATAAAACTTTTCAGTGTTGGTTCAGCAATCAGAAACACTGCTCTATTAGCACAGTTTGGGGCTCATCCACTTTCTTGATGATATTTTAAGGAGTCTTTCCACAACAAGTAGTTCACAGGCACAGGTCTTTTGAGTATATCTGAACCTGCTTCGCATTTTCTGCTCTAGGCAAGCCCTCTTAACAGCCTCAATAGAAGCGAAAGCAGCCCTCCCTGAACTACTCCTCCTAGTATTTACTAAAATCTGTATGGTTTAGAAGTTTTCCTACCAAAGGGGACTGAGGATCATGGAGGAGAGCTTTCAGATCTCTTCTCCTCCCTGCCTGTTTCTTCTATACCATCTTCTCCTCAACTCCATTCAAGAATATTGTTAAAAAATAAGCCTTTACACCTGGGTTGAAAAAACACAGTAGTTGCAGGGCAGAGATGTGCACTCACGCAACTGGTCTACCAAGCAAGAATAATATAGGAACCATATCAATTTTCTGGTAGCAAGTGGAAAAAATAAGAGATATCTGAAGAATGTGAGTCATTACAGTGTCCTAAGTATACAAAATTTAAGAGACAGGAGACTTACTCTTCCCCTCAAAATATTAGCACTGTTGTCAGAAGTATTATTTACATGCTGTGGTCTTGAGTAAAGTCATCTCAGTTTCCCTCTTAAGTCTGAAACCTTGACAAAAACCATGCCACTACAAGACAACCTGAGCTCATACACAGAAGAACTGACATTAAAGTACATTCTACTTGACTCACTGGAAGTGGGGATCATTTTAGGTTGCAGGTCAAAACACTGCTGGCTGGGGTTATTATAGCCAACATCTTCCCTGCTGTGAGCCAGCCCAGTTCAAGCAAGAGTATATATGCTACTCAGTATTAGTTATTGGATATTCCCTGTCACAGCCCAAACAATTATTTCTGCTGAGAAACTCAAATTTATGTATTTCAGACTCTCTTGGATTTTTCTGAGGGGAGGTGAGGACAAGCTTGTCTTATTGTTTCTAGTCATTAGAAACAATAATCGTGCAGTAGTTTATTCTAAAGCATCAAATCAGCCTATGTTCATTATCCTTTTTTCACAACAGAAAGCCATTGGAGAGATGTCTCTCCTTAAAAAAGCTTGGTGCCCAGAAGAGTTGGAAAAAGCTGTTAGCACATCCACATCGGCCACCTCCAGCAGAAGAGTCAACTCTGAACACACATATCCCACTGTACAGGGAATGAATCCAAACAGCAAAAAAACTTTAGAAGTTGGTGACAAATCTCTTTTCCTGTACAAAGCAGAAATCACTCAAGTATCATGGACAGCTATGCACCTGCACTCTGAAATAAACAGCAGGCTGAAGCTTGTGGGTGCTTGTGGGATGGGGAAAGCCCAGCTCAGGACCCTCATCCAAAGCAGAAACATTAGGACTACTGTCAGATTTGGCTCCTCCTCAAGTGTCCCCATTTTGAAGATATACTTTTTCAAAACAAACATTTCATTAAAGATTAAAAATATAATCATGGTCACGTCTTACCACAATGCTTAAACAAGTACCCCCCACTTTTTTGAATTCAGCAAAAACAGTTGCCACAACAAAGAAGCTGGAGAAAGCATTTATTCAACATAAACAATATCAGTACAGTACAAACAGCACTTCTGGAAGGTGTAGCAAGCAGGCAGATATACAGAGACTATGTGTCCAAGAAGCCCAGGTGCTTGTCTGGCTGGAAGGGGAAACTGCCACCATGGGCATCTCTGGGCTGGTGATGTCCTCACATCATATTTTCTGGCTATGGCCCTGGTACTCTGCATCCACAGATGACACCAGGTTGTGCTGGCCCCTCAGACAGAGACCTGCAAGATGGTCAAAGATGACCCCATGCACAACACAGAGCATACAAACTGCATTTTGGTCTCAAGGTGTGCATGCCATCACGGTGCTTTCTCTTCACCTTCATTCTGAAGAGCCCAGAAGCACAAAGAAGTTGCCCAGATCTTTGTCAAAAAGTCTTTATACGTGAGCACATTCACGTCTTTTCTTCTGTTTCTTCACCATTACACCAGTGGCTGGTAGCTCCCTGAGGACATGGCTGGGCTTTACGGCTGCCACTGGGTCTGCAAAACAAAGAAATAGCCCATTGTTTTCCCCAGCGAAAATATGCTGATTGCACTGTCATGTTTTGCCTTTCATCAATATAATCCCACTGCCTTCCTCTTGCAGCTGCAAGGTTTAGGATTGCTGAGTCTGAACATTAGGAATTATGTTTATAAGGCAAAACTCCAGAACAATTGTGTTTGAGTGTCACAGGAGAAATGGGCCCAAAGCACAATCAGCTGCAATTGAGTGGCACAGCAAGCCGAGATACCACGTCCTCTGAGACTCAACAATAGTACTAGAATTAATATTTTAGATCTCTGAAAGAAAAGCCTCATTTTAAACTCTGAATGTCTTTCAACATATGACAGAAGGTCACATTATCCTATACAAGACAGTCAAATACAATGGAGAGCTTGAGAAGCTGGAAGGTTTTTTGAATATGCTGAGGCACCTAAGGGCAGAAGAAGATCTGCAGCTATGCCATGCAGTTGCTCACTCCTCTCACCACAAGTGCCATGCTTGCAGCACTCAGTATTATTTGCAGAAATACATACAGCAATGCATTTTAGAAAAAGGTGGATGCCACAAGGCTGCTTGAGAGAGGGGATAGAGATACCCAGAGGGGTCCATCATAGCTGACATATAAGGTATAGGTCAGCATGAAAAAAAACCTTGGCTGAAACCCTTTCCTGGAGGTGTCAGTAACAGTGTTAGGCTGCTCTCTGTATCCTGCAATAGTCCAAATGCAGATCAAGCCTACAAAGTTGATAAATGCACCTCTTGTCACACCAGAGTGGCCACAGCAGTGGTGACTGAAGCACTTACCTGATGGGACAGTTTTAACTGGTACATTCTCCTTGTCCCTGAAGCACTGGCTCTGGGGTGGAGTGCTGATCTGGCCCCTCAAGATGGGGGTCCCTTGCTGCACATCCCAAATGCGGGCTGCTCACAGCCTTCTCCTCCTTGAGATGCTGGCACTGCTGAGCACATACCCTCGCTAGGTGCTGCAAGTGCTGGAGAGACTGTGGTTGCATTTCCTTGGTAAAATGAGCCTTGCTGGGATTTCAGAGCAGATCGGGACCTAGAATAAATGACACAGGTGCAGAGAACCAAATGCAAGGCAAGGGGCTGAAGGAAGTGAGGTATTTGTGCTGGATGGAGAAAGTTGCCTACCTGGAGATGCATGACAGTAAAAAACCACCCTTAGACAAGAGCTTAGAGACACTTTAATTCCAGTGTCCAGTAGCCAAGTCTACAGCACACAGCTAACTTCAGCAGAACAGCTCTAACCATACCAACAGAAACTGGTCACTGAGACCTTAAGAAAAATCTCTAACTGGAGAAAAAGAATTAATGGATAATGGCAGGAGTCAAATGAAGACCTGTACTTATCAGTGCAGCAGTAAAGGTGAGCCCAAAAACCTGGAAAAAGTCAAGTTTACAGAGACAGGATGTACCTTCTCTAGTGCTTATAAACTTCTCTGAAGATCTCCCTAAGCATCAAAACTGCAGACAAAAGTTTAATACCTCCCTTGAGATATATTATAAGTTTGTACTCTTACTGGAAGATTAACTCAGCCCCTTGTATGTTTGGTTAAGCAGTGCTGAGGACAGTTCAAATGTTGTCATTTATTATATTCAGGCCCTGCAAGTAAAGCTCTGTTCTTCTGCACTGCCAGCCTATTTCTTGTTGAGCATCCCTTCTATGCTTGGGTCAAGCAAGTCTTAACTTAAGCCCATACAACAAGCAGGATCTTTGGAATACATCCAACACAGTGTACTATTAAAAAAACCCAAAACCCACATGTAACTTGGGGGTCCAGCCCAGATTCACTCTTCCCAAATACACACGCTTCCACAAGCCACTTTTGCTTTCTCAATGGAAGGAGACAACTTCTACAGCTTTCAGATGTGCTGATTCGATTCTCACTCAGTGAAAGCACCCATTTAATTCACAAGCAAAACCGGATTTGAAAGCTGCTCTCAATTACTGCACAGCACACCACTGCCCACCTAACACTGTATAATCACAGGGTGTTTACCCCAGGATGCAGCAAGCAAAAAGATCCCCTAACTATGCTGGAGGACATGGTATAGATGCAGGAAGACATCGAACCAAAGGTCAACAGACCTGCTGTGATGCTTCTAATGGTGTCCTATGACAGGAGCAGACTGGATAGCCAGCATTTCAGGACACTCACTCCACCAACAACTTGTCTGTTCTGCACCAGCTTCTACTCAAATTAGCAATAAAAGTGAGTTAGGAGTGACCAAACAAAAGCATAACTCCCCAGCCTGAGCCTTCGCTAACTGGACATGCCCAGTTCAAAATATTTCATGAAGTATATAGCAGAAGTGCCTCAGTGACCTTCACTCAGACTTCTTTATTCTCACATGCAAAAGGGGATCTTGTCAAATACTGCAGAAACAAGCCAGTAAGTTCTAAGAGATCCCTTGGTCTGAGAGAGGCTGCAATCATTGTGGACACTTAAAAAAACCCCCAACCAACAACCCAAAAAAAACTAACAAAAAAAACCCCCAAACCAAAAATGCTGTTAAAAGATGAGCAGTCCCTGGGAAAGGCTGCCAGGTCTGAAGAGCCTTTAGCAGCCTGGCAGTCCTGCCCACAACACTACAGCTTGACACAAAAGTCTTTGCTTCTGCTGCCCTGAGGACAGTTTCATTTACTTTCCTTTAAACCTGGAAAATAGGTCGCTTTTCTTCTCGTACTTCTATCAAATATCGGGTAGCAGAAACAACGTGAATTTACCTGTACTTCATAGGAAAATAAGCACAAAAAGGGCAGAGATGACAGACTAGATCCCCTCCATACAAGGCTTCATTCATTACAGCAAGCAGCATCGATCCAAATACCTTGGACCATTTCATCCCTGCTGCAAGAGATGTGGCCTGCCAGCTCCTTTGCAGATAACATAGCTTTGTACTCAGGGGTTCCATTCAGAATCTTCACCTCCTCCCTGAATGAAGCAGCCACTTGGTCAGCTCTCCCCAGTCCCTGGGAATAGCCCAGCACAGAGCAGTCAACAGCTCCCATTGCCTCTGTAAGGGATGGAGAATCTCCCAGCCCATCTCCTGCACCAGTGAAGCCAGGAGTGTGACAGACACCTCCACTCCATGCATGTACAGTGGGGTTTGGACCAGGAACAGATAGCAAAGGAACAGGGGAACACTGGAATCCATCTTCCAACTGCTCCCAGATAGACTACTTTTAGGTTGAGATATATTAATAATGTAATTTTTAGTCAGACTTTTCATTCAAGTGCTGTTGCCTTTTATCCACTTCTAGCAGGCACTCCACATATTTTGTAACAGTTTTTACATAAGAAAAGGACGAGGAAAAAGAAAAAAACACTCCCTCCTGGGTTTAGAAGGAAAGGACTTCTGTTTGCCAGAACCATGCTGGTTTATTTGAATGTAAAGTTAAACAAATCCTTACAAATGGTGTTCAGATTTGAGTGGGAAAGAAACCAACAGGTAACCTTCTTCTTGGACCAAGTTTGCAATTTGTTCAATAATCTTCTGGTGAGAAGCAACACTAGAAAACAAGCATTGCTAAAATTTGACTGTTTTGTTTGCAAGGTAAGATCCTATCAGCAGTACCTGAATAAAGATTAATGTCTTGAATTGCAGTTGTATCTGAAGATTTTAAAGACCCATAAAAAGGTAGACTTCAGTGGCATAACAGGAAGGTTGTCATGAACTGTCACAATTTGAGAAACGGCTTTTTCTTCTTTAGATTTGACTCACAAACTGAACAAAAATAAGCCTGTACTGCCTTACTTGAAGTCAATTTATACTCCAGTTTGAATAGCACCTGCCCTTGGGTATGTTCCAGAAGAACATCTACCTTTCCACAAAAGGAGGCTAACACCCATCATAAAACTTCTAGAGGCACATTAGATGTCTGTTCCCCCCCCAGCAATTTCACCCTTAGAAGTAGAAGGAACGCTGCCAGTTACAGCCTGTGCTGAGGAAACATGAGTTATAATTTTACCCTGGGAAAATTGCTGAACTGGGAGCTTCTGGTGTGGCATAGGTCTTGCCTTCGCAATCCAATGGTTCTTTTGATTCAGAGAGGCTTTGAAAGGGTGGTGATGAAAAACATAGCCTCTCCCTTTGAATCAGCCAGCTGCCTGCTTCCCTCTGCACTTTTAAATTTGGTTTATTAATTTGCCTAGGAGTAGAAAGAAATAACACTGACCCATCTAGAGAAGATATGTCCAAAAATGTATCAAAGAACATTATCTATTTCAGGCTGACCACACAGACAACAAAAACCCAAACTTTCTACTATCCAAAAAATTTTGTATCTAGAATCACCTTACCAGGCTTAAGAAAGTCTCTATTAGCTCTTCTGGCCATATGAAGAGGAAAGAGGAAAGGGACAAAATACAAGGATCTGATAAAACCATGTCTTTGAAATGTTGTAACACACAAGAGCTTTAAGCACTCTCCAGATGTTTCTTGCAGCAACCAATAATAAAATATTCTCAGATGGAATTGCAATTTTGAAGACATTGCATCCACTTGGTAATTATGAGACTAGCTAGTAAAACAGACAGCTTCATCTATAACCTGACTGCAGAAAAAAGGCACAGAAGTGCTTTAAAGCCATACAGTTTCAATTATCTAATTTATTATGAAGATGTAAACAAAACCACAATTTTGACAGTTACAGCTCAGTCTGGTAGAGAACTGGAAATAGGGTGTGAAACTGTAACCTTATATTATACATCCCTTGCTCCAGTATTGATGAAACACCATGGGCAAAAAGAACTGACATTTAGGAGCTCTGTGTCACTGCTCTGTTTTCTTCCTGTCTCATCTACTTCTCCTCCCAACAAGTCTCTGAAGCTGAACTTAGCAAAGCAACATCCCTGTCTCAGAAATCATAATCTATCAAAACCCCAGCAGAGGGACAGAGACTGCTAAGAGGGAGAACAGTGCAAGGAAAGGGTAAAAGTTGAACTTGCTGAGATGACGGGCTTTTTGGAAGTCTTTGTTAAGAGGGACTGCAATAGGGAGTGTTTACCCATCTCTACAATGATCCCATGCATTTCCAGGGCTAGCTGGAAGTTTTTCCTCTCCTCTCAAAACTCCCATTGAAATCATCAGCCTACAGATTTCACAACAAACAGGAGAATGAAAAAACCCAAACACTATCACGAGAGAAATCGTATTATCATTACCTATTTCAAAATGCCTGTGGGTTACTTAATACCTTGGGACAGGCAGCATAACACCACACAGGTGCTCACTGTATGGGGTCAGGAAACAGCCTTCTGCTAAAAATACACATATGAGGCAACACACAGCACCTCTCCCCAGAGCTCTGGAAACAGGTTATCCATGTGGCGCCTGAACCCAAAACCATAAGAGACCCAGATACTGCCCTATCCCCACCCCATAAAAAATCTGTCCATCTTTGGATTTTAAATTCCTTAGAGCAGCCGGTATGTTTTTGAGTGGCTGGTAGGAAGGGACTGAAGTCCTGAATTAAGCTAATTACAGCTGTGGCTAAATTCAAAAGGCTCCTTCAAAGCAGTAGCGCACAAAGGCTTTTACTTCATTTTACCTCTTTTTGGGTGTTTGAAGTTTGCTTAAATGCTGGAAAAGTATTTAGGGATGAAGGGGAAAAGGGAATGGTGAGCATATGACTATGGGGGTCATGCAGCAATTTTTTTTTTTGTTAGTGTGAAGGGCAGGATTCAAGGAAAGGAGCACACAGGAGTCTGCTCTGGCAGGCAAACAGAGTGCTTGGCAAGACAACGACCATATGGCATATGAACAAAGCATATTTTAGATTTGGTTCGTTTGATTCCATTATATGTAAAAGATACTCTAAGATCCATGGCTAAGAAATACAATTTTGATTATTATTGTTTTCAAACCTGTAGGGATTTCTCCAAGTAGTCATTGTAGCTCATATGATAAACACATCCATTTGGCAGCTAATTTTAGCATTTTTTGCCCGCAAGGGTGATTAACCCTGAATCTATATAACCATGTGCTAACAGAAGCCATCATTGCCCCTGCCAACCTCATGAAGCAGCAATCCAC